TGGAAAATTTTGGAACCAATCCAAATGTACATTAGTAGGAGACTGGTTGAATAAATTACGTTACATCTATACTACAGAATAATATGGAACTGTTTAATTATGAGGGAGATCTCTAGAATTTAAAATAAGAAGACAGATCTCTAAGTACTGACAGGAAAAGCAAAAGATTTGTGAAGAACAAATTGTAATAACAGTTTTTTCAAAGGAATAACAATGGTATATACAGATTTAAAGTAATGCTGAAGATGTACACACACATACACACACACACACACACACACTCCAAAACAAATGAAGGAAGATTTAAGATTTTTATAGTCTCTGGGCACCAGTGGCTGGTATCTGTAATTTTAGCTACTCAAGAGCTTGAGATCTAAGGATCATGGTTCAAAGCTAGCCTGGATCTAAGGAAATCTGTGAGATTCTTATCTCCAATTAATCACAGAAAAAGCCAGAAGTGGTGTTGTGGCTCAAGTGGTAGAATGCTAGCCTTGAGTAAAAAAAGCTCAGGGACAATGGCCAGGCCCTAAATTCAAGCCCCTGGAGAAAGAAAGAAAGGAAGAAAGAAAGAAAGGGAGTGAGAGAGAAAGGAAGAAAGGGAGAGAGAGAGAAAGGAAGGAAGGAAGGGAGGAAGGAAGGAAGGGAGGAAGGAAGGAAGGAAGGAAGGAAGGAAGGAAGGAAGGAAGGAAGGAAGGAAGGGAGGAAGGGAGGAAGGAAGAAAGGAAGGGAGGAAGGAAGAAAGGAAGGAAGGAAGAAAGGGGCTGGGAAGGTGGCTGGCTCAGTGGAAGAGTGCTTGTCTTGCATGCATGAGGCCCTAGGTTCGATTCCTAAGCATCACATAAGCAGAAAAATCCAGAAGTGGCACTGTGGCTCAAATGGTAGAGCGCTGACCTTGAGCTGAAGAGCTGAGGGACAGCGCCCAGGCCCAGAGTTCAGGCCCCACAACCAACAAAAAAAAGAAGGAAGGAAGAAAGGAAAGAAGGAAGGAGGGAGGGAGGGAGGGAGGGAGGGAGGGAGGGAAGGAGGGAAGGAAGGAAGGAAGGAAGGAAGGAAAAGAAAAAGAAAAAAACAACAAGGAGCTTAGGGACAGCACCCAAGCCCAGAGTCCAAGCCCCAGGACTGGTGGAGAAAAAAAAGATTTTTGCAGTCTATAATTCACTTTGCAGAATGAAAATATTCTCTGTGTATGTGTGTGGGGGCATGCATGTACACATGTTCTAGTCCTGAGATTTGAACTCAAGGTCTCAAGCTCTCCTTTAGCTTTTTCCACTCAAGGGTAGTGCTCTACCACTTGAGCCACAGCTCTGTTTCAGGCTTTTTGCTGGTTAATTGGAGATAAGAGTCTCCTGAATTTGTTTGCCCAACTGAAATTCTCAGATCTCAGCCTCCTGAGTAGATAGGATTACAGTCATGAGTGAGCCAACAGTGCCCAGCAACAGTCTTGTTTTATAATCATAAAAACTAAGAAAAAGCCCAGTGCTGGTTGTTCATGTCTACAATCCTAAACTACTCAGGAGGCTAAGATTACAGTTTGAAGCCAGGCTGGACAAAAAAGTCTGTGAGATTCTTATATCCAATTAACCACCAAAAAAGCCCAAAGTGGGACTGGGAATGTGGCTCAGTGGTAGAGTGCTTGTCTTGGCCTTACCTGCATGAAGCCCTAGGTTTGATTCCCCAGTACCACATACACAGAAAAAGCTGAAGTGGCCCAGTGGCAATGTGGTAGAGCGCTAACCTTGAGCAAAAGAAGCTCAGAGTCCAGGCCCTGAGTTCAAGCCCCAGGACTGGAAAAAAAAAAAGAAAGAAAGATAAAAAGAAAAAAAAATAGCCCAAAATGGAGCTGTGGCTCAAGTATTAGAACAGTAGCCTTAAGCGAAAAGACTCAGTGGCAGCACCCAGGCCTTGGGTTCAAGCCCAAAGATTGGCATACACACACACACACACACACACAAAAGAATGTTTATAGACTATTGTTTCTCATAAAAGTTACTTGGACAACAGCTCCAGAGTCATAAAATGCTTTTCTTTCTTTCTTTCTTTTTTTTGTGGTGTTGGGGATGGACCTCAGCACCCTGAGCATGTTAGCAAGTGCCCTACCACTGAGCCATACTCCCAGCCCCTAACTACATAGTCCAGGCTGGTCTTGAATTTGAGATTATCTTGCCTCTGCTTCTGCCTCCCAAGTACAGGTGTATACTACTAGACCCATACCCAGCCTAAAGGATTTCTTAAAGGGGGCTCATGGTATGGTGCTCTTAAACCTACTTTTTTTTTTTTTTGTGGTGCCAGAAATTGGACCCAGGGCCTCATGTATGCTAGGTACACATTCAACAACTGAGTACACCCATTCTTATTTATCTTATATTTTATTATGACAAAGCATCATTCTACACTTTGGAGCTTAAATCCCCCTGGACCATCTTGTTCTTTTATCCTTGAAATTCAGACTTGCCATAACAGAGATCCAGCGTGACTAAAACAATGCAAGGGATGCCAAGTTTTTATTTTTCATCTTGATGAAAGGAATGGTGGTTTTTACACTGTCCAAGAACAAACAGAACTACGACTCCTGTTTCACAATTTACACAACCTAATGGAATTTGTGTACTTCTGACAGCGTGAACATATTTCCCACAGTTTCCACATTTGTTTTTCTCTGAGAGGTTGTCATTTTTTTTTCTTTGCAAGGGTGGTGGGGAGGAGGTAGGGATTTTTGTTTGTTTGTTTGTTTTTGTTTTTTAATGTAACTGATTAAAAAGTTTTAACTTTTTCTTTTAAGTCAAGAATGGCTGGGTACTGGTGGCTCATGCCTATAATTTCAACTACTTAAGAGTTTGAGAACTGAAGATGGCATTTTAAAGCCAGTCTAGGTAAGAAAGTCTGTGAGACTTGTTTCCAATTAACCACACACACACACACACAAAAAAAAGCCAGAAGTGGAGCAGTAGTTCAAGCACTAGCCTTGGGCAAAAAAAAAGCTCAGGGACAGTACCCAGGTCCTGAATTCAAACCCCAGGACTGGCGTACACACACACACACACACACACACACACACACACACACACAAAGTTGAGAATGGTGATGCTTATAATCCTAGTACTCAGGAGGTAGAAGTTAGAAGATCCAGAGTTTCAGGCTAGCTTGGGCCACATAGCAAGTTCAGGTCTAACCTGGGCTATATAATGAGACTTTGTCTCTAAACAAAGAACTCCATAAGCCCTAAAGAGTACAAAGTAAATCTTCCAGGTACAAGCAGAGGCAAAGCAAGCCAGTCATCGGCATTTGTGTCACACACCCTGCAGACACTCACACCCAGAGCACACCAAACACACACTGCCTGAACTCACCAAACATGGACTGCAATGTTCTTTCCATGTCCATGGACCTAGGCCCAGACACTTAATCCTCTCTGCCAGGACAAAGCCAGCACGGTAAAGCCCAGAAGGGGACACAGAGAAAGCACTGGGCCTGGCCTCTGGCTCAAAGCCGTAGGGCGGGTCACAGAGATGCCAGCACCTCTTCAAGCTCCTCACCAAAGAACCACAAGTCCCCAGAGCTCCCAGAACAAAACAAGGGCCTCTCAACAGCATGACTCCTGACTCACCGGCAGAGAGGGAAATCAGAAACCACAAATAGTAACAGTAGGTGTTGTATCTTAAAACCTCTCTCACAGGGAAACTGAGGCAGATGAGATTTCTCTGCTGAACAGAAATGTCTCAGAAAAGTAGCTATGAATGGTGCCCTTGCCCAACCAGGTGAAGCTACTGAGAGCTCCCTTCTGTTCTTTCTTTGACTTTCTTTCTTTCAACCTGCACCTTCTTTCAGCTCCCATTTCCATCTCAAAGAGAAGCCTATTTTTGGCACCCTGTTCTCCCAAGAAATGGGTGTTTGGCATCATGCAGAAACAACTCTCTCTCCTCTTTGGAGGCTGCTGTGTTCTGGCCTTGAGAAAACCAAGAAGAAAGACACAGGTGCTCCTCTGAGTTTTTCATTCAGGTCTGGGTAAGGCAGAGGGAAGGACTGGGGAGATTTCAGGGAGGTTTGCTTTGGGGTTTAACTGTTAGCCAGAACTCAAGAAAGGGGGAGGCAGTGGCTCTTTTTTCTTCCCTAGCCACAAAGCTAGTTAGTAGCTCTCCCCGTGCTAAAGTCAAGGCCAGAAGTCAGCCTGAGAGCAGTGCCCTGCCACCAACAAGACCTCCCAGCTCGAGACCATGACCAGCTTTGCTGCAGTCACTGTGTCTACTGGAGGCCTTGCTTGACACATCAGGCAATGTGGATGAATGGAAAGTGAGTTAGTAGAAACCAATAAAAGCTGTGTCAAGTTTTGTTTTTTTTTTTGGGGGGGGGTCTGGTCGTGGGGCCTGAACTCTGGGCCTGGGCGCTGTCCCTCAGCTCTTCAGCTCAAGGCTAGTACTCTACCACTTGAGCCACAGCGCCACTTCCGGCTTTTTTCTTTTTGCTTATGTGGTGCTGAGGAATCGAACCCAGGGCCTTGAGTATGCAAGGCAAGTGCTCTACCACTGAGCCACCTTCCCAGCCCCGGCTGTGTCAAGTTCTGCAGATCACTAAACTCAAAACTCAATCTCCCTCTCTCTCTGTTTTTTGTTTGTTTGTTTATTTGTTTGGGTTTCTTTTTGCCAGTCATGGTGCTTGAGCTCAGAGCCTGGATGCTGTCCTTGAGCTTCTTTTAAGCTACAACACCACTCTGGCTTTTTCTAAGTAGTTTATGAGATAAGAGTCTTATAGACTTTCCTGCCTGGGCTGGCTTTGAACCACAATTACAAGTATGAGTCACTGGCACCTGGAAAGATCTTCTTTAAAATAAATTTTTTTTAAACCCACAAAAAACTCAACAGTTGAAAGCTGATGTGTGACTCAAGTAGTAGAGTGTCATCCTTAAGTGAAAAAGCCAAAAGAGAGTGCAAGCCTCAGTACTGTCACAATAAATAGGTAGATGATAGATAGATAGATAGATAGATAATCAATCAGTCAATACTTACCGTTAAAGAGGTGAAAGTCATGCACATCCCACCAAAGCCATTCAGAGCCAGGGCGATGAAGATGAGCACAGAGAGAGCTGTAGGGAATAGAGTCATAAGCAAGGAATCATAGATAATCTTTGGGGAGGCCAGGGCCTGGTCCCTCCGCCCCACCCCTCTGCATGGAACAGGTTCCCATCTGATGCAGGTTGAATGGAGGAAAAGCTATAGAGGGTTAGTACTTCCTCCTCCTGCCTACCAAGAGCTTGAGCTCTTATAAAAAGCACACATCTGTCCTCCTTTGTCTGCTGACCTAGCAGCAAGCAAGAGGCCCACAATACTCTCAATGACACTACACACCTAGGTTTCTGAAAAACTGGGGAGGAGCCTGGTGAAGATTTTGGCAAAATGCAGATCCTACTTTGGTATTTGTTCGGAAAGTGCTTGAAACAATGGATGGGTCTGAACAGGATAGAGAGCAAGTCACTTCTCAGGCATCTTTTTATTGTTGAGAAGTTGGGGGCTTCATACACTCTGAGAGCTACAGAGAGTAAATCACCCCAAGAGACTTTTTCTTGGGGTGGATTACTCTCTTACCTGACCACTCATTTGAGATAAGAAACTGAGTATAGAGGCCTAACAGCTGCCTACTCCAGGCAAGGACTACAGGTACGGTATCTAAGAGCAGGTAGCCAGGAAGCGCCTCTGGACAATCTCTCCCCAGTTCCTGATGAAGGAGTAGAGCAAAGGCATACTCACAGTTTGGGTTACTTGCTCCATATGCAATCAGCAAGCAGGAGACAGCAAAGCAGGCACTAGAACCAAGCAGAGAGAGTACATTGTGTATTATTGCATTGTTGACACTATCATGCAGTCTTATCATGGGGAGATACTACGTGTTATTTTAGAGCACTTACAATCATTATTTAATTTCCAATTCTAGGGGCTGAGGGCAGAGCTCAGTGGTAGACGACTTGGTTGACATCCACAAGGCCCTAGGTTTCATTCTCCAATATTAACAAAGAAGAATACTGTAGTTGGCCTCAATTTACTAATGAGGAAAATAAATCTCATTAAAAATAAAATGCAAATCCTAAGTTTTTGTTAGGTTAGGTTTATAGGTCCATGGTAGAGTACTTGCCTAGCATGTATAAGGCCTTGGGTTCAATCTCCAGCACTATCTCCCCACCCCCACAAAAAAAGGCAAACCAAAACCAAAAATCCAAACCCCTAATTTCTCTCAAGATCTCCTACCTAAGAGACTAGGCCAGAATGGATGCCCCAAAGCCTGGTTCTATGAATGCCATACTCCACTGCCCCTCCCCGACTGGACTGGAATGGGCCCAGGCTAGGGAGGGAAAAAGCACACAATTCACCCCTCAGGTTCCTGGGCCCACTCAGCCACAGCATGGACATGACCTACCAGGCAGGGTAAATGTCTGGCTGGTTCCAAACTCCTTTGCTTAGCTCTTCCCTGGAAGCTAGTCTCTTCACTAGAGTGAAAGGCACTAATTCTCCAATCTTATACACATTCCCTTCATGGGCATAGGACTTATCCACTATAAGCTATTGCCTGAAAAGGTGGTTATTCCCAATGGGAAATGGCTTGGAGAGACCCTGACTTAAGAGGGCTAGTAGATGGGGCTGGGAAGGTGGCTTATGGTAGAGTGCTCACCTTGCATGCATGAGGCCCTGGGTTTAATTTCTCAGCACCATATAAGCAGAAAAAGCCAGAAGTGGTGCTGTGGCTCAAGTGGTAGGGCACTAGCCTTGAGCTGAAGAGCTGAGGGACAGCGCCCAGGCCCCACAACTGGCAAAAAAAAAAAAAAGAGGGCCAATGGATTGGAAACTGGCCATACAGCTCTAGCCTTAGAGCTGTATGTATCTATGTTTATGTATATATGTATGTTTGTATGTATGTATATTTGTAGTTTTGGAGCTCAAACCTAGAGGGAGGAAAGGAGGGAGGGAGGAAGGAAGAAAGGAAGGAAGGAAGACAGGTATACATATAGTTTGTATTTGCATGTGCTTATATTAAGATTACATGCTTAAAATCTTTTAGGGAGCTGGGAACCAGTGGCTCATGCCTATAAGCCTCGCTGCTCGGGAGTCTGCGATCTGAAGTTCTAGGTTCTGAGCTAGCCCAACATACAAATTTGAGAAGCTGCTGTCTCAAATTAACCAGCAAAAAGCCTGAAGTGGAGGTATGGTTCAAATAGTAGAGCAGCAGCCATCAGTGAAAAAGCCAAGTAAAAGTGAGAGGCTCTAAGTTCAAGCCCTACTACTGGCACACGCACATACACACACACACACACACACACACACACACACACTCCTTTTAAGGAGTCCCTTATTTTACCTTCTAACACAATCCATCCAGGCTTTTACAGTGTACTTGTTAGCTCCTTTCCAGGAAATGCAACCCAAGGGCTCCACCTGTCCACCCTCTGCCCCCAAGGATCCCACACTGACCTGCCCAGCAGCCTGAGTTTCCTTGGACCATACTTGTCCATGATGATGCCCAGGGGCAGGGTGATGGCACTGAGCAGGAAGGAGCCCACGGTGAAGGCCAAATTCAGAATCTCATCCTGGGCCTTGCAGCTGAGCCAACCATTCACCCAGCTCACCTCTTCATGTTCTGGCTCTGCGGTGCCTCCCACTGTGCCATTGGTGACATTCTCTGTGAATATAGAGGAAAGGAACATGGCAGGCTTTCCCAAAGAGCAGAGGGGCAGGTACACCATTCCATTACCCCACTGGGAATACCAGACTTGGCTCCGGGGCCCTTAAGGTTCCAATAATCCACAGCAAGCCTGGATGTCTATTTGACCCAAGTCCTCTGAAGCAATAATCTAAGAGTTAGAAACTTTCACACCAAAGACCATTTAGAGAATCCAGTAAAGAAAGTTGTGCTTGGGTTGGGAAGGTGGCTCAGTGGTAGAGTGCTTGCCTTGCATGCATAAGGCCCTGGGTTCAATTCCTCAGCACTACATAAGCAGAAAAAAAAAGCCGGAAGTGGTGCTATTGCTCAAGTGGTAGAGCACTAGCCTTGAGCTGAAGAGCTGAAGGACAGCGCCCAGGCCCAGAGTTCAGGCCCCACTACCGGAGCCCTCCCCCACCCCCCAAAAAAAAAAGTTGTGCTTGCTGGGTGCTGGTGGTATGATCATATCTGTAAGCCTAACTGCTCAGGAGGCTAAAATCTGAGGATCATGGTTAAAGCAGTCTGGGCAGGAAAATTCATGAGACTCATCTCCAATTAACCACCAGAAAACAGGAAATAGCACTGTGGCTTAAAGTAGTAGAGTGCTATCCTTGAGCAAAAGAGCTTAGGGATAGTGCTCAGACCCTGAGTTCAAGCCAAGAAAAGGAAGGAAGCTACTTTTGGTTTTTTGGGGTAGTTCATTTGAGATAAGAGTCTCACAGACTTTCCTGCCCAAGGCTTTAAACAATGATCCTCAGATCTCAGCCTCCTGAGTAGCTAGGGTTCCAGGTGTGAGCTACTGGAACTCAGCTTACTTATTTTATTTTTTGGGAGGACTGGTCCTGGACCTTGAACTCAGGGCCTGGGAGCTTTTGTACTCAAGATTAGTGCTCTAGCACTTGATCCACAACACCATTTCTGGCTTTTTTGATGGTGAAATGGAAGTAAGAGTCTGTTGGACTTTCCTGCCCAGACTCTGAACTGGGATCTTCAGGTCTCAGCACCCTGAGTAGCTAGGATTATAGGTGAGGGCCTGGTGCCTGGTGCTTTACATCTTTATGTTTTGGGGGGAGGGGGTTAGTACTAGGGCTTGGACTCAGGGCCTCATGCTTGCTTGACTTGCTTGTTCAGCTTGTGGTCTACCACTTGAGCTATACCAACCATCAGCCCTGATTTTTGCTGGTTATTTTGGAAATGGAGTCTAGCTGACTGTTTCTTCCCCAGATGGCTTTGAACTGCAATCCTCCAGGCCACAGCTTCCTGAATAGCTAGGATTACAGGCATGAGTCACCAGTGACTGCTTTGCTTTAGTTCTGTTCTCGGGTAGTATCTTGAGTTTTGGCCTGGATCACCCTTGGACTGTGATCCTCTTACCTATACTTCCTATTTAGCTGGGATAAAAGGCACAATCCACCACATTTAGCTTATTTATTGAGGTCGGGTCTCACTGACATTTCCCTGGCTGGCCTAGAAACACCGTCCTCCTGATCTCTACCTCCAGAGTAGCTGGAATTACATGTAAGCTGCCAACATACCTGGCCTCGAGATGCAGCTTTTCTTATTGTTCTTCTGGGCTATTGTGTGGCTGTCTCCTGTGACCACACCCAGACCCTGTTAGGTGCTAAAGCCTGGTGTGTCAGCCACACCTGTGTTGTAATTTCAGCCCTTAAGGGCCCCCCTCCAAAGTCCAACCAGCAAAGAAAGAACACAGAAGGCAGAAAAAAGTGCTGTGGTAGCTAAGCGAGGGGTGGGGGAGGATGGGGACAAGCTGAGATTGAGACTGAGGAACTGTCCTCAGCAGGACTGCTAGTTCAGAGGTGCTGACTAATCCCACAGAGACAGGACAGACTGATTAGATGCAAGGCTACACCAGAGAGCCAAGGAAATACTGCTCCTCAGATAACTAACTGCTTCCCAATTGCAGCCCTTTGGTGCCAGGGCTGTAAGGCTGAGGTAGGCAAAGGCTTGCCCAGGCATCTCAGGGCTGCCTCACACAACTGTAAAGAAAGCAGCTGGTCCAGACACTAAGGAGGCTGAGATCTGAAGGATCATGGTTCAAAGCCAGACCAGGCAGAAAAGCCCTCCAGACATCATTTCCAGTTAACCAGAAAATTGAGCTAGAGGCATGCTTAAATGGTAGAGTGCCAGCCTAGCAAGTACAAGACAAGACATTGAGTTCAGGCCTAGATATGAGCAGAAAGAAGAGCTGGGGGGAGGGGGGGGCGGGAGGCAGGGGGAATAAAAGGCAGGGGAATAA